AAACGTTTTTTTTGTTCTCATCTACTTTGCGAGTTTAAATCACCCAAAGTGTCCTTCTGGCCACAACCTTCAGACAGAGCTGAAGAAAACTAAAGTACAATGTCCTCACCACCTCACAGTGTGTGGTTCTTCTATTGTTTCTATCTCCTGTAGATGCAGCTAGTCTTCTTTAACTTTCTGTATTTTCCATTGTTTCCTCTCTTAAACAACAATAGTGTCCACTTTTGCATAACTCGTCCCTCCTCATGCACTTCACCTACTTATGTCCTCCACCTCTGCCTCCGTCACGCTCCAGTGATGTCGGGTCAGGAGGCCTCTGACGGCAGCGTGACTCCACTCAGTTGGCATCTACCCTCAACCCTCCCACCCTTCCTTCCCTGTCATCTTCATACTCAGACCCTCAATGCCCCCTCTGTCTGGCCCCCGTAGGCTGTAGGCCCTGGGTGGGCGAATAGAGGGTGTCTTCCTGTGTCTCACCCTATCAGAGGATGCTTGGAGACAGGGGGAGGGGGATAGCGAGGGGTTGGCGGAGACAGCTGCCATGCTAGGGAAGCCCCCACCAACCCCAGTCCAGTATCGTCCCATGCCGTCCCATTCCCAACGCTGGGCAGTGATCACTCGACTACAAACTGAAGTGGGGTCTGTGAATGATGAGTGAGCTGAACGCTTCAGACTTTGACTAGAATGGATGTATGTGTTTCCGGCAGTCATTAAGTACTGCAATGTGACTCTGACCAGCTGGGATTTAACAATGGATTATACCAAACAAAAAGCAGGACTAGATGCCCCATCATGTGCTCCATGAGTCTTTACAGGAGGTATGTACTGGTGGACAACTCAGTATTTGGCAAAGGTCATCTGGCAACACCGTGGCAGCATGTGTTATGAAGCTCTGGGTTCAAAGTACTCTGGTTCTGTCATGTTGATATTCAGTGTAATGCCAAAACATGAAGAGATGTGCAGACTTATTATTAGATCATTTCAAATGTCAAATGACATTATGTTGCCATAAGTTTCTGTTTTTGCTAAATAAGACAGTTTTGGGGGGAAATGGAGCAGTGGATTATTTGTTGTCAGTGATGCTGGGTTAGGTTTACTTAATGAGGAAAAACATGTTTTATGCTTGAGTCAAATGTCTTAGCCACAAAGAATGCTTTTCAACTACTTATAGGTAAAGCAACTCAGAGAGATACACAATAATATGTAGGAATGCATACCATTTACATTATTCCAAAGTCCAAATGAAAGGGAAACAAATGCTAAACTAAATGAGTCTGTATAAGTGTATCATTTGAGCTGTAGGTTTTCACGACACATTTGCACATTTTGAGAAAAAAACCGTGTTGTCTCACTTCAAGTGCTCGTCCTCCCACTGCGCTGTCAGTCCACATGCTGTTACAAAAAAAAGCAAAGCATCACTTCAGGCTGCAGCGCATATCACTGATACACTTTCAATCTGCCCACATTGGTTTTAAAATATGGTGGGAGGTAGAAAATAAATCGAATTACTGACCAGCTGCACGTAAATGGGGATTTTACAGTAACCTTATTATTGCCCTGCATGTAAATGTGTTCTCTGACTTCCTGCCCTAACCTGATTCATCCCACTCTCCTGATGTCTTGTGTGCATATAAACGTATTAAGTATCTTTATGCATGTCAATGAAAAATCACTTGCATCAGGTGAGAGAAGCTTTTGTTATGCATGTAGCTGTGTTGTCATATCATCAGTGATGTTAGGCATTGTGTTTGTGTTACTCTAGGTAGTGGTTTCATGTGTGAATCATTAGATACTGTTTTTATTTCTTTGCACATATCTGGTGCTAATTGAGTGGTACAAAACGGTGCAATTGTGCATGAGGGAAGCTGTGTGAAAGCCCACAGATGGAGGAGAGATGCTCACACTACCACACAGCCTGTCATGCTGTAACCATGCTAATGTGGCAGAGCAGAAGCAGAGAGAGCTAATTCTCTTCTGGTCTGATACTCTTTGAATTTCAGACCCATGTTTTCAACTGTGGTCCACATCTAGCTTCCTGTCACCTGGGGAATTATATTTCTGTGCGTTTACATGTTGAATTATTATAACTTATTGTCAAATATTCTGACGTGAATGCATTTTGTCTCGGATGCCCTAGGAGTAAACAGTTGTTGAACTATTTTCTGTAATTTATTTTAGATATTTTCTTGCTCTACTCATCTTGGGCCCTTTTATAGTTGTATGTTTTCAAATTAATATAGTAATTTATTAGTAATGCACTGAACAAAGTGACCTTCACAAAATACAAACATATAACAGAAAAAGATACCCTACAAAATATAGTTGCAACCAATAAAACAATAGTAAGAGCAAAATATATATTGTGCAACACAAATGTTACAATTCAGTCATTTAGGCAGTTCATTTTATATATTTATTGTTCCTTTTGCTTACTATATTCATCTTCTCTTGGCAGTTCTCTCTCTGATAATGTCTTCCTTATGTGATTTATACACTTGATTTCCTTTATGTGATATATTACATTCAGAGTGATTTCCATACGATATTCTTACGATTGTATTATCCTTTTGTTGAGGCACATTTCAAGGATCTATCAGTGTTATCAAGTGCTGTTTTGAAAGGTTTTTGATTAAATTGTGCAGACACTGCAGCCTCCTGTCTTTTTGCAAGTACATCTTAAAGAACAGACTATGCAATATCTTAAGTATTCAAAAAGTATTTGAATGCACACCAATACTTGTGACTGAGGTTTGAGCCAACACCTGTAAATGCTTTTTTTGTATAGGGTTCTCTACTCTGTTTTGTTTTGACCTCTTAGCTGTAAGTTGTTTTCTCATAAATGTTAAAAGGCGGTCCTGCTCCATGGCTGTTAACCAGTTTTGTAAACAGGTCTCACTTGCCTCGGTCTTCAGCATGTGTAACTTACCCAGTTGTCAACACACTCGCGCTGGGCGGGCCTGGCCTCACTGTAACCTAAGCTGTCGGTCCTTCTGTTCCCTGCAGGGTAACTTGACCCAAGATTGCTTTGTCATGTGCAGGAGAGAGAGGTCCCCCCCCCCCCACACACCCTCTGTCTTTGTCCCACCAGCACAACACAGACACTTCAGTGTTGTTTTACAGTTAAACTTGGTATTTAAGTGGGCCTACCTCAAAGGATGCAGGTTTAATAGGTTTAAGGCTCATGTGTACTATGTGGGTGTGATTATATAATGCAGTGCTCTTGAACTACAGTGTGTGAAACATGTGTTGCACGTGTGTGTGCAATATGTCAGTGGAGGATGTTTTCGCTGGGTGTTTTTGCCCATGTGATTCCTGCATGTCCTGCAGTTTGCAATGCAGGGCCTTTTCGTTCTTCTTGTTTTCTTCATCCTGTTTGTGGAGAGAAAGGTCTGATGCTCATCATGCTGTCTGGGGCTTGGCCAGCTAACAAAGGACACCCTGTGGATGGAAAAACAGCCAAGGGATGAAAACAAAATCCCACACCCACAGCATTGTTAATACGGTCAAAATCGTACCCCAAAACAACAACACCAAAGCTTAGTTTGCATTCCTCACACTCTGCTGGTATGCTTCCTGATCCGTCTGATCTCAGTGGTGCTTGTTGTTGCACTGAACATTTCAAACTCGCATTTTAAACAGCACTGGGAAAGTTTCTGGCATTCACTTCATCACTCTATCTCATTTTCTTTCTAGTACTAAACTATTTGGTGGGTGGAAAATGTACAAAGTGTCCATACACCTCCCCCAGGGAATAAATAGATTTTGGATGACTTTCTTATGCTACAAACATTTTTAGCAGTTGCTTTGACAAGTTTTGCTCGTATTTTGTAGAGTGCTTATTTTGAGCCCTAAATCAAAACATGCAGCCTAACTGCCATGACTCAGCAACATCAGAGTTCATGACCTTCTTGAGTCTGCATTTAAATGAATGCCTGCTGGAATCTAAATATAACTACAAACACCCTGAGGTTGTAAACACAATCTAGACACAGAACAGTGTCAGTGCAGGGTCAAAATTAATCTCTTTCAGAATTGTATTCATTTTTTTAAAGTCTGAAGAAGCCTCTCGCTGTCATTGACCTTTATCTTTTAAACAGAAAACATGATATGGCTGCTATGCATGATATGTAAACAAGTTATGAAGCTGTATGGTGAGTTGAAATATCTCTCTATTTTGAAAAACTGTGGTACAAGGGGAATGTAGCACAATGCATCTCAAATTTGACTTTGTTTCTCAGAATTTGACTTTCTTTCTTCAAGATATTCATTTTTTCTCAGAATCTGACTTTTTTCCAAAATGTTACTTTTCTTTCAAAATGTCACTTTTTTTTGTGTGTGACTTTTTTCCTAGAATTTGGCTTTTCTTTTTAAATCATTTTGTGACATTCTCACTGAAGAGACTTATGAAGTTGTTACCCTATCCGATAATAATCCAATGCAGACGGCAATAATGTAATATAATACATTATTTTATATATATTTTTATATGTATTTTTTGTATGTATATAAAACTGGCCCTTTGAGTGCAACCATGATGCTAATGTGGCCCGAGATGAAATTGAGTTTGACACCCCTGCTTTATACACAGTGAAGTCATACATCTCAGCGTTTTTTTCCCTCTGTCTGCTATGCCTATATTTAAACCACAAAGCACTGCAGACTAATTTTGCTGTCCCTTTTTCTCACGGACAACAAATCCCATTTGAAAGAAAAAATACGTAATGGCCTGTTTCTCTTTATAGATTTTGTTGTTCACCCCGATCAGATCAGACTAAGTGGCTTTTGTTCTGGTTATCCCAGACACATATTTCTGGTTGCGGGCCTCTTCCCCCTGGTTCTCAGTATTTCTTCAATGAGGGCAGTGCAGCTGGTGGAGAATGCACACAGAGACACATTGGCTCAACTTGAAAAATAAAGCATTTGGCCAGCCAGTGGTCAGTCAGGAATGGAGCAGTCATTGTGAGAACACACTTTTAACCTTTGGCCTCATTTCTCTACAGGCATGGAAGAAGCGGTGGTTTGTTCTTCGCAGTGGCCGTCTGACAGGAGATCCAGACGTGTTGGAGTACTACAAGAATGACCACACTAAGAAGCCCATCCGTGTTATTGATCTCAACTTGTGTGAGCAGGTATGGTTCCTGATCACTGCCGAACTGAAGAGACACTATCCCCATGTTGTCATGGCGCTTGCATTGATATTTGATTTAACCAGCCCTTCCCCATAAAACAAATACATGTGTAACATACAAAAACTCACAGCTTGTGATGATATTTCTTTTTAACCGTAACTTTGACTTTGTTTATATATGTAACTTGAATATTTTCATCAATTGAAAAAATGCAGAAGGTGTTAATCAATATGGTTGTAACTAATAATACTTAAAGTTAGATTTCTCTAAAGCCCTTACATTGTTGTTTATGTCTTTGCTATTGTCTGTTTTTCAGACAAACACTCCAGCAGGCAAACGTTTTCAGATTGCAAATTCATCGAGTAAATTCGAATCACGATTAGGGAGAGGTCAACGTATTATTTGTTAATATGTAGTCATCTGTTTTGTGTTGCTTCAGGTGGACGCTGGGCTGACGTTCAACAAGAAGGACCTGGAGCACAGCTTCATATTCGACATCAAGACCATCGACCGTGTCTTCTACCTGGTGGCTGACACTGAAGAAGAGATGAATAAGTGGGTTCGCTGCATCTGCGACATCTGTGGCTTCAACCCCACTGATGAAGGTAAGGGCTGACGTTAGATTAACCAAACATCACTGCTGCCAACCATACATTGTGTGTCAACCTGTCAGGTCACAGATGAGTTCCTAAGGTTTAAAGTTATACCTCACCAGAACAAGTTTCACAGACAGTGAAAGTTTTAAAAAAGCAAATGTTTTTAACCACATACCTACCATGCATTTTACATGTTGTACCATTTGGTCAGATATCTTTCTCTGAATGTTAAATTTCATTATGCATTTAAACAATGTTTCTTTATAGAACAAACCTGAGTGGATGTTGGCAGTAGTATTATAGGTAATCTCTATAAACAGTAGTGACAGTAACAAAATCCGTAGGCAAAGGGACAAGATGTTGGTGTTGGAAGCAATCTAGTTTTTTGTGTGTAGGTGGCACAGAATTGACAAATCACTTTTGCAGAGGCTTTGGTACAGTTCGTCTGGAGAGCAATAGAGGCGGAACCCATCATTCACGCGCAAATATTGCTTTTTATTAGCCTGAAATGATCTTGTGTACTGTACTGGCTTTTTGTGAAAATATATTATATATCCAAATATATTCACATGTCTGAAGTTGCTATATCAGGCATCATTCTGTGATTGCATTGCTTATAGCACTATAGCTAGATGTGAATAAGCATTATCATTTTGTGGATGATTTATGTTTGGTCAAATGAAAAAATACCAGCAATGTCAGCAGTTCTCAACCACAACAGACTTAAGCTTTTGTTAGGAATTCTTAAACCCCGAGACCCAGGATTAGCTGAAAAGAGTCCAAAGAAGCTTATAAAAGTGAACAGCATTTAATTAAACAAAATAATGCGATGATATACAAATGAAAATATGCGAGTGGCGTGGCTCCCCCCTCAGATCAGCTGCTACCCGTTCGCGTGGGGTCAGCCGGGGTGAAAGAGATCGATTTTTGGCTTGCTTCCCCTGTTATCATCTGTGGTCTTCTCCTATTGGCCGGTCTCGACGGGGGGCGGGTCCAAAGCACATCCTGTCGTTTTTCTGGTGTTATTTTACAATATTCTAATGTCTGTCGTTATTTAAACATTCCCTAATAACAGTATTGCAGCGTCAATACGTGAGGGTTAAAGACAGTGTGTTTAGTGTACAACACCACATGTCATTTCACCTTCAATTCACGGTTTCAAAACGTAGTATCAGCCACATGCTAATGCTAACCTTAAATTGAAGCTATATCCCGTATATTGCCATTTATTGCTCTCTCTTTCTGAAGAAGTTATGCGAACCAGCTGAATGTGCCAGAAGGCCTCTCTCTATTCAGCATAGCTCCGAGCCGAGGTCTAATGATCCATGTGTTGAGTTAAGTCTCACGTTACCCTTGTCCCAATACTGTATAATCAAAGCATTGTGTGGCTGTCAGTCCCACTTCTTTCGTTCTTTCGCTATTATATGGTTCCCATTCTGTCTCGTTTGCATACTGTTGTTTCCCACTCTGTTTTTGGGCCTAATTGCACTTATATATCCCCCCCCCTTATCAACTAAGTGTGTGCGTATTTTAGTCTGATGAGATCTAATTCACTGACATGCTACGTCACCAAGAGAGAAGAATGTATGTTTCAAACCTGGCGTCTCAGTCACAGCTGCTTCAAGGTCGTCTTCTCCACATTGTTGTGCCTCCAAGTCTGTTACATAGCAAGTGTTGCCGGGCAAGCCTGATAACAACATTCATGGCACCTCTTCAACACAATTATTGGAACGGGCTGTTAAAATCCTGATGTGGAAACAAAAACATTTATTCCCTTCAAGGAGAAACTTCTAAAGACAAATATCCTTGCAGATATTGCGTTTCACACAATTCTTATTACAAAAGAATGTCCTTGGCTCGCCGTTCTGCACTCGCTGCACTCTTCTACGTGTGAGATCCAACTCCCAGTCCTCTAGCGTGGCCACACACACATCAGAGTGTTTAATGGATGGCCAGATATTAGAGGAGGGAACATTAGGAGGGCCAGGGGTGGAAGGCTTTGAGAGATGGTGTAGGAGGTATAGAGGAGTATGAGCAGAGGGGAATTTCCCTTGTCCTGCATGAATCAGCACTCACAGCTTCAACAAACAAATGTGAAAAGGGGAAGGAGATAGCAGAGGAGGAGAGCGGAGAAAATGATGCAGTGTTAAGAGAGCTGTGACTTGTAAAAGAAGGGAAAAAGGGAGACCTTGTGTAAGAGAAAACCACGTCAGTTAGAGAGTGGGAGCAGAACTGTGAAAAGAAGCGATGTAGAAAGATGTGGTATGAATACAGATATATTTAACAAACAATCAGCACAAGCAGAAGGGTTTGCAGTGGACGCTGATATTTGTGTGACAAAGCGGAGACCTTGAGGAAATTCTGTCTGAGAAGAAGTGTGTGGGATTCTGAAGGCAAAACCCCATATTCACAAATGAAGCTTTTAAGTCAGGGGTGTCAAACTCAATTTCATCTCGGGCCACATTAGCATCATGGTTGCACTCAAAGGGCCAGTTTTATATACATACAAAAAATACATATATAAATATTTAATATATATAAAATAATGTATTATATTACATTATTGCCGTCTGCATTGGATTATTATCGGATAGGGTAATAACTTCATAAGTCTCTTCAGTGAGAATGTCACAAAATGATTTAAAGGGGACCTATCATGCAAAATGCACTTTTGTACGTCTTTTATACATGAATATGTGTCCCCGGTGTTCCAGGGAACTCACCAAGTGTCAGAAAACACAACCCTCTCTATTTTCCTCCATACCCAAATCTCTAAAAAAGGGGCTGCAACGGATCTGATAAAAACTGATCCAGATTTGAACACTGTCCTGACGTCAGGACGGTGGCGCTACGGCTATTGGGCCAACTCCACCAATCAGGAGGAGACAGCCACGGCCATTGCCGTTCGAAAGTCAAAATAAAAAAAAATAAGTGACATTTTGAAAAAAAAGTAACATTTAGAAAAAAAAGGCAGATTCTGAGAAAAAGGCAAATTCTGAGAAAAAATGAATATTTTGAAGAAAAAAAGTCAAATTTGAGATGCATTGTGCTACTTGTAGTTTATGGGCAACGACACGTGCTTCTGTAAATCGGCATGTAACCTTATAATAAACATATTATATTCTTTGCAAGCTCTTGTGGGGCCACAGAAAATGAAGTCACGGGCCGGATTTGGCCCCCGGGCCTTGAGTTTGACACCCCTGTTTTAAGTAAAGGAGGTTGGAAACACTAATTCATGATGGTGTTCTTCGTGTAAATTCACAGTAATGACTCAAGTGTGCTTCAACTTGACTGTCGGTGCCAGTGTTATTTAGGGCATCTTGTCACACACTGATCACACTTGTATCATGTCCTTCCCCTCCAGCTGGACTGTGTACTGTATTTGAACAAGTTTTGATTTCCCTCAGGAAAGTGAGGTTATAGATTATTGTGGTTTCTTGGCACTTGTTGTTTAAGCTGCAAGGAAACAGCTTTGATTTGGAGTTCAACTATTCTAAAGTGATACCTGAGACATGTCCTCAAGTTGTCGTTGGATCAGAGAGAGTTTACACACAAACATTCGGATATTAAAGAGATATAAAGTTGATGTAGTGTCAGTCTGGGGACTATAGGCTGTTACATTGGAATCGGGTTGCTAGGAAACAGCTTGGGTGCAAGACAAGTTTACACAGCCAAAGTTGACATTAGCAAACAGCTTACTGTTTACTTTCTGCCTTATATCATCAGTCACCAACATCACCTGCACCGTCTCAATGGGCTTTAGAGTGAGAGCAGGGCCCGACCTACTGAGATGAATAGGGGTTCAGTTGGAGCCATAGGTGATTCATTTTGTACTTATGCATTGAATAGAATATGAAATACCCATAAAACATCACATCGCCATGGGTCGTTATTTTGATCAATGATACGAAAGGGGTCATTTAAGGGAATAGATTTTGGGAACCACTGCAATAGGTAAACAAATTTCGATGATTGAAATCCAACATCACGCTTATAATAAGATCCACACAATTGTAGTACATTCAGTAAAAGAGGTAAAAAAAGAAATAGGCCAAAGAAGTAAACTGGATTTAATGAGTCCATCTGAAGTGAGTAAAAGGACTGATGAATGCTTCAACATCATGTTGATGTTGGACCTATGTCTGGCTGAGTATCATTTTTAATGTGTGACATTTGCTGCACTGATTAATATCCGCAAAGCCACTGAACAATCAGCCAGAGCAGTCAATCACTGATATCTGCTGAGTCCAGTCTGACAGATCTTGATGGCATCTAATCTTTTGTCATCAATGTTGTCGCTTGATGACAATCAAAACTATCTGTAATTCATTCATTATATGGCATTTGTTGTGAAACAGTTCATCTAAAAAGTGTATTAATATGTGATCATCCTTTATAGTTCTCTATTAAAACAACCTTGTATTGTAAGGTTTGATATAGTGAAGGTCTGAGATAACCAATAGACTCTTAAGAGGAATTAACCCGGCCGTCTCCTCTCTCTCCTGCAGAGGCAGCAAAAGCTGCTCACCAGTCAGCCATCGGAGGCCTGGTGGTGGACACCCCCCCACACCCAGCTCTGGGTCACATCCTCGGCCCAGCAGCAATGCTGACCAGTATACCCCCCCCATACCAGCCAGTCAGCGTGCGACACCTTGACTCTCAGTCCAGCTCAGAGGAGCCCCAGGACTACCTGTGGCTGGTCAACTGTGAGAGCAAGAAGCCTGACCCCAACAGGTGAGCTTCTGTCAACATCTGCTTATTATATGTATGAGTCTCTGTATACACCTTTCTAGAGTGCTCTTCTAAGACATAAGCTTCCCTCTGTATTTTTTCCAACCCATTTATTCTTTCTGTACTTTCTGTACTGCCACTCTGGTCCCCGTCTCTCTGTGTGGTGTGTAGCTCAGTGCAGCTCCACCCTCCATTGGAGGGAGACCCGGAGTATTTGCTCCTGGAGAATTGTGAGAGCAAGACTCTTCCCTCCCAGGCTAGACTGTGAGTGCCCAGCCCTCCAACTGGAACTGCCTGCTTGTTTGGAGTGCTACATGCACGTGTATTAAAAAAAAAACGAGATCAACAAGCACTTCATTCACTAAAATGAAGAGTTACATGGCTTCTGTAGAAGACGATTATTGCTTGTTTTGAAGTGTTTGAATGTGTTGCAACCTTTTATATATACAGTCTATGGTTGCAACTAGCCCCACTTCAGAAAACCTTCCTTACCTAACACTGCAATGATGTTATCATTGCCTGCATGTTTTGCATTTACCCAACATCTACAGACACCTTCACATGACCCAAGTAAGAGATGCTAAAATGTTATGCTGGACGATATGAAGAAAATGAAATATCAGGATATTTTGGACAAAATATCTCTATATATATCTCTTATTGGGTAAAGTCCTCTAAATACGTACGATAATACGATATCCAAGACAATATCTAGTCTCATATAACATCATTAATATATTATTACTATATATATTTCCAAGGCCTACTTGTATGGCTAGAAGTGCCTCAGATTAGTTATAAGTGTAAAATGTCAAACTGAATGTCACTAACCATGACAGTGCTCTGAAGGCCATGACTCAGTGAATTTCTTGTCTCTCCTAAATCACCTGTTAATATTCAATCCTCCTCGTATGTGTATTTTCTTCCTAGAGCCCATGCTGAGTGTTCCAAGTCTACCTCGTCAGAGACAGACCTGAACGACAACCTCCCCTCTCACCGCACGCCCACCTCCTCCACCTCCTCATCGAAACACACCTCGCACAACGGCTTCTTCCCGCAGCACCCGGCCCCCGCCTCCGCCTCTTCTATCTACGACTCGCCTCCATCACGCGGTGCCTCGCTCTCCACCGACGGCGGCTTTTACCACCTCCCTCGCAGCTACTCCCAGGACACTGTGCTGCTCCCCAAGTCGGCCTCCTCCCCTCTGGCCCACCCGGACAGCATTGATGGCTCGGAGCTGTACGTCTTCAACACACCGACGCGGAAACCCTCCATGGAGTCACAGCTGCGTAACCTTTCCATCAGTTACGATATCCCGCCTACACCGGGCTCAAACTCTACCTACCAGGTGCCCCGCACTTTGTCAATGTCCACGGGGGTAGGAGGCTCAGAGGGTGGGGCAGATGTAGTTCCCCCTCCCAGACCACCAAAGCCTTCGCTCAGTTCCACCTCAGGACCCCCACCCCCCCCTGCTGAGCGCTCACCTACGGACACCTATTGTGTGCCTCGCTCAGCGTCAGAGACGGACGGAAACTACTGTGTGCCTACTAGTGCTGGGAATAAGTCTTTACGCAGCAACACTATTGGCACTGTGGACAGTTCACGCCTCCGCAAAGGTTTGTGTCGGGGACACTTTGTTTTCTAGTTGGGAGTAGAGATTTCCCGTGCTTTGGAAATCTGCTATGACATTAAAAAGTATGATTTATGGTCTTAAGAATATTTAAATCATAATACAACTTTGAATTTTAAAGGAAGGGTTAGGGTTAGGGTTACACTTCCACAAAGCCTATTTATTCTATAAATCTTTGACCTTAAGTGCAGTGATACTTTTCATCAACTTTATTCAGATTTTCACAGCTTTTTATGTGAGTATTTTTTACTGTTTTCTCCGTAGGAGCTCTTGGCATGTTTATTTTAGCTGCAATTTCACACTCAATCTTCTGTTCAGTTCACAGTCTATTCAAACTGATCAGAATGAAACCCAAAATAAGAGCCCTTGGTTTCCTGCAGATGTCATCATCGCAGGTCTTGACTCTCAAGGCATTTGATTATTTAGGAATTTGGTTGGCAAACCAGAACCTGATGAGATTTTCTGAGACGAGAGATACCTTTGAAAACATTTGAAATGTTACATTTCTAGCTCCAACATCTTTTGTAGAATGGCTTTAATTAGATTACCCTAGCTTTCAGGAAAAAGAAAGAAACTAATGGAGTAAGTAAAGACACTAAATAAGCATCTTCCTCATACTTCTCCCTCTTGTGGTGACTAATGTCATTACGGGTGTATTAGTGACAAGATAATTGTTTATAAAACCCAACAGAAGCCAGGCGTGTCTGTGCAAAACTTTTAAACAGCTTTCAAACTGTCATTGCAGAAATGGAGAATATCCCAGGCTCATCAGATGATGTGTTTTGTGAGTTCACACTAAATGACGATAAGGCTCTTGAGGATTTCCCTCCCATACTTAAGTCTAGATTGAAGGCTTAATTGATTCTCTCTTACTGACAAATAAGCAGACCAGGGTTAGGGGAACCAAAATAGAAATACACTGTAAAGAATCATGACATTGGTGGATAATGTGCCCCATTTGTACAACACAAACCCTGGCTATCATCTGACCCGTTTGTAACTGTAATTTTGCTTCTTTGGAAGCAGTTAGTTCCCTGTCTGGTTCTCCCCCCACTTAGTCTCCTTCAGCTGACACTCTCATTTGCTGTACAAGCGTTTCCTAGCACTGCTGTTGTTCTTGTGGTCATAAGTGAAATGCATTAGCGACTGTATCAGCAGTGCTTAATGAGAATACAAAAACAATAACAATGTGCTACACAGCAGAGCCATTACGTACTGTATAGCTGCTGAGCTCTATCCCACTGAATAAACAATGTTTGTAGCTCCATGAAAACACACGCGGCATTTTAAATATGCCTGTGTTGTGTGTATTGTTGGCATTATAGCATAAAGGGGCTCGAAGTTCAGCATAAAGCTTTGATATAAAAACAAATAGTTTGCATTACCTTACATTTACTGATAACACTCTTAGTGTAACGTATGTAGCTGGATATAGCTAGAGTATGTTGAATGTATTAGAACATATTTGGTAAATGTATTTGTTTTTTGCAGACTTTGGTTCCCAGGATTGCTATGACATTCCTCGATCATTCCCCACCGAGAAAAGCTGCTCATTTGACTTCAACGAAAGCTTCAACAGCTACTTTGTAAGTGTTGTTTCAAGGTTCACGGCTTTAGTAGTTGCTGCCTGCTAAAGAAACCCTGGTTGTAATGGCTATGGATGTTTTGATTGTAGTTGTTAATAGAGACATAACATTTTTTAAATGCAAATGACTTGCTAAGAATAAAGCTCAGATCTTCTAAGCTGTTTTTATAATACCTAGTATTTGCATTCTTATCTCTGGCCCAGTATGCAGACTAGTGCCATGTAATGGAGATTAAAAGAATCCTAGTGTGGCAGTTAATGCTAAGCACTTCTAGTACGATATTAGTTTTTAGTTTTTTTGTATTATTGCTACCCATTGGGATAATGCATTGCTGCATAAGCAAGCCTTAGAAATGCAGTGTTTCTGGGTAATTTCTTACTACTATTATAATACATGAAAAGGGCCTGCTAAAAACAAGCGGTCTATGTCCCTCCCTAAACGATAACATGCACTCGGACACTATTTTTAGCATTTCTGCCCGTGCACAATATCGTTTGTATTTGAAATATAAATAGAGAGAGTTTAGAGGCAGCCTCATACTAGCTATATCTGTCCTCTTCTTCATGTATGACTTGTCCCCCCTCAGAAAAACAAAGGGATGATGCCAGTGGGCAGCCAGTCCACAGAGGAGGTGGACCAGAACTATGTCCCCATGAGCGCCAACTCCCCGTCACACCATCACTCCGGCAGTTTGTCGGAGCCCATCCACGAAACCAACTATGTGCCCATGACCCCGAGCACCATGGAGTTCTCCTCCCTGGGGAAGCAGGTCCCTCCGCCCGCCCACATGGGCTTCCGCTCCAGTCCAAAGACCCCTCCTCGCAGGCCAATGATCAGTGACTGCCAGCCCCCGCCTGTGGACCGAAATCTCAAACCTGACCGCAAAGGTGAGAGGACAGCGGCTGTGCATGCACCTGTAGCTGTACCTGTTCCTTGCTGTGGGGTTGATGTGTGCTGAAGTGTATTGTCGCACTAAACTTGTCTCAGTATGTTCAGTGTTCACGACTAACGCACAAACTGACCGTGCTTCCTCTCACACTCGGCTGTTATTCTCACAGTGCTGGCTCATGGTCACAAAGCCATCTGTACAACATTTCATCATTTCCAACCATTCTCTCTAACTTTCTGACTCCCTTGGTTTGTTTGGTGCATTAAATACCTATATCTTCTTCTATATTTGTCCTTTAACATCTTATATCATCTCCTGATCAATTAGTTTAGAGCCCTGCCTGCTACATCCTCTTACATCCAACACAGTAAGCTCCTTGTCAAAAGCACTTTTGTCCCGAGCTCTAGAGGCCTGCAGAGCGTTTTGGAGGGGGCTGGTCCCTGTGCCATGGAGTGACCGAAGCCCGGAGTGGTCACCTCCGTCCCCTTTGTTCCCCTCATCTGAATAGAGCTCTTTGATGAAAGACCTAATAGCAAGGGGAATTACAATCTCTGCAGATTGAAAGGCTGATTAGAGAGACAGAGAATTGAAGAATGTCTGGGAGACAGCGAGTCATCACGTAGACAAACTAAAAGGCAGGGCTGTTAATGTCACTGAAGAAAAAAAGGACATGTTATGGAGTTTAACAGCTCCCTGTCGAGCATCCTCCCATGCACCACATGTGGTTGTTTTTCTGTGACCTTTGAGACAGTCATCTCCAAATGTGGCATGCATCATCTCATGACTGCCATGTCCTTATAGAATAGAATGGGAGGGATGAAACCCTCTTTTAATGGTCTCACATGCAGAGCACACAGCACACACACCGTGAAATGTGTTCTCTGCTTTTAACCCATCCTAGTACCAGGAGTCTAGTACTAGGAGAAGTGGGCAGCTATTGTACAGCGCCCGGGGAGCAATGGGAGTGAGGGGGGAAGTGGGGGTGTCCGGTGCCTTGCTCAAGGGCACCACGGCAGGGCAGGAGGTGAACTGGGACCTCTCCAAGTAGCAGTCCACACTCCATATTTTAGGTCTGGTCGGGGACTTGAACCGGCGACCCTACAGCTCACAGTCCAAGCCCCCTACTGACTGAGCCACTGCCGGACAATTAATTTATTAAGAGAGTTTTATTACTTGAAATAATCTTACTGCCAAACTGCAGGCCAACTAGTTCAAGGACATTATTCTAATATCACAAAAAAGCCATAACTGGAAATCAGGAAATTCAAATGTAAGCCTCTGGCTCTCGATCCATTATTTATAGGAAGGTATGACAGCAAAAATGATGATGCCTTTGTAGTTTTGGCCTTGTCATTTTCAGTTTTCTTGCCATCTATCACTTCCTCTCACATTCATATTGTCAAGTCACCCTGTTTTTTTATTTCCTCTTTGTTGACATAAAACAAATTCAAACTTCAACTCAAAGTTAGTCATGAGTAGCTTGTACACAAACATATAAATAAACAAATTCTTGATTTTTACTTTTGATCTTTATTTGACATGATCTATATTCCTCTGTAATCTGGACTAACTCAACTCATCACCAGCTTCATCTTGTTTGTGCTTTGTTCTCTTAACCGTACTTTGTCATGCCTTTGACATCTGTGGTCAAGTCCAACAAACGGCTTTTCATGTATTAACACTGATTTGTGATTACACTGACATTTAGATATCCTACTTTGAGATTGTGATATATTTACTTGCTGTGATAACTGTGTTGATGTAGAAGAGTTATGTGTCTCGTCCATGTGCTCTTCTCAACATGGCGTAATTTCTCCGTGTACTCTCAGTGCTTCTACACAGCTTGTCGTGCATGCACAGCTGTGATGTCAGTCTTTGTGTGGGAAGCCTTGGTGCATGGAGTGAGGTGCATGTTGGGCAGTATGGTTCTGCTGTTGTCATGACAATCTTCCTCTTATTAACTGTTCTGCACAATGAGGTGATTGGTGCACATGAGGGTGTAGTTTTCTTCTGAAAAAAGTATTGTCTGTCGCTTTGCATGGCGGGGCAGTGGTTACAGTAGGGCTAATTTGTTGTGATCTCCAAAAATATCATAATAAGCAAAGTCTTTTTTTACCAATCAGGTCAGAGTCCTAAAATAATAAGAGCAAAAGGTGTTGTCTTAGAGCGAACCGACTCTCAAACCGTAGGTGAATTCCCGAGAGGACGACGCAAGGGTAGGTACTCCACACTGAACTGCCATTGTGTACGTGAAAACTTTCCATTCTCTGACCTGTCCAAACTTCATCCTGACTCTGCATGCTGTTGGATTCATCTTGTTTTCAGGCCTGTTGGTTCTATAAGAGATAAACTGTGTGCAAACTGGACTCAATTATTACCTATCTTTATTACTTGCTGTCTGTGATGAGCACATCCAATCAGAGCCACCCAAATAGCTTTAAGAATATAACATGGGTGTCAGAGCTGTTGCATTAATCCAGTCTTATTATTTTAAATCCCAGCAGGAAGGGAATGAGCGTGCACTTCATGCGCGGTGGATTGCATTCTTGGAATTTTAGAGTCACAACATGACTAAACTAAGAATAAAATGTTCAAATTACCTTTTAAATATCCCCTTATTCAGATGTGACTATTTACACACAGTATAGCAAGTTACTAACATTTCTCTTCCCAAACATTTCTTTTTGTGTTTTTTTTGTTTTACATGTTGTGCTTTCAAAATACACATTCACATGTAGTCGCAACAAAAGAATTATAGTCAGAAAACACTTGCATGGTGAAAGTAGTATATAGCTCTTCAGAAGGAAATTGAACAATGATGATCTTTCCGGTGTGTGTACATAAAGTATTGACTAGCAGATGACTACCTACTTTATTAAAACAATTTAAAATTGCTAAATTATCTCTATACCCCAAGCAAATATGAAAAAAGTAGTTTTTTGTTGAAGTTACCAACTACAGCTTTAATGTCAATACTCATGCAAAAGTTGTGTTCTTGCTACGAAAGTCTAAACACAGTTTGAACGGGAAAGAACCCCTTGTGAAAAGGACATATTTTGATGTAAATTAGACATAAATTGGTGGAAAATGTTTTGGAATTATAATGTTCGAACAGCATTTGACATTTTGTAGCTTTTTGTCATTGTTCAACGCAGATTTGTTTTTCAACATAAAAGCTTCCTTACGTTCATTATGCAGTTTTTCTTTAGGTTTTGAGCTGCACTTAAACACAATAAATAACAAAAAAACAAAGGGTGGTTTATTTCCCACTATATACAACTTCTATGCGTTTGTCAGCATTGCCTTCATGTAGCATGTGTGCAGTGACTGACTGTGATGTGTACCTTCAGGAAGACCCGCTCCTCTAGAGATCAAACCTCTGCCAGAGTGGGAGGAGCCCTCCACGCCGATCCGCTCGCCTGTCACACGATCCTTTGCTCGGGAGTAAGTATCTCAAATATTCTGCAGCATTTTTCATGGTTAAGAATTTTTCTAACAACTAAGGGCGTGTTCACACTACTCTCTTTTCTCATCAGCCAGTTTGTATTCCCTTTTAGTTTCACTTGAGTTGGGAAATGTGTTACTTTTTAGTTTTTCACAAGGCACAATTCAATAAAAATAAACTCCTGCACCTCATATCCAAGAGACTGAGCAACTGATGTTGTTAAGGAAATGTTGTGCATTATATGCAATATCTGCCATATTACCAACAAGCGTTTTGTCTTTTTTCTTCTTCTTGTAAATATATTATCTGGTGTGAACATTCCCTTCTGTAGTGAGTACAATTAACTAAATTAGTAGGTACTAACACTTCATGCATTACTGTAGTCACCCTGTGACCACCGTAGCACTGCTCATATAAAACCGTTGTGGGATATGTCCCAGAGCTACATTATACTGAATGCACTTCGTTGTCTTATCTGGGATAAGTTCTATCCTGTTATTCGTCCTGCAGGGACTCTTTTTGCCGCAGTGGTTTACAGCTGTGGCGGTTATGTCTGTAATATAATTTATGTTCAGCAGAGAGTGTATTTTCCTGGAAGTCGGTGTGTAAACATTGTGAATGCTGCTCAGTCTCTCTAGGTTTCCAATGCCAGCAGTGAGACCGCCGTCAGTGCATAGTACGGCCTCCAGCACTGACTCCGAGGAATGTGATGAGACTTATGTAGCCATGGACTCTAATATGTCCACAGATGAACCAGTATGTAACACACAACTATCCTCTGATATAAGAAGCTGCATGATTATTCTTTCTATCCTCAAATTGAAGATAATCAATGATACAGAAAAAAAGCCAAATGTGTGATTTGATTTTGATCCTCTTTCTGATGTGTTGAACCTATTTTAAATGATTCATGTATTTGACATTTGCAAAGACGAAGATCCAACATTAATAGAGTAGAGATTTAGTAAGAGGCAGACTTTTCATTCAGGGTTAAACACCATGCCACCCAGAATGTTAAGCTGTAATGGTTGTGAATTAGAAATCCCATTTCCAGTCCTTACTCCTCGCCTTAAGGCAAACATTATTGAGGACAAATGACTGTTCGCTGCAGACGGACTCCTCGCCACTCAAACTCTTTTCTTTGCAGTTTCCCCTTGTTCTGCTGCTCTGCTTTCTTTATTCCCTATTTTTGTTCTTTCACATTTCCGGTATTATGTTCTTTAAAAAAAATGCCTGTTTTGTTTAATCAGTACCCAAACTGTTATTCAAAAGATCCCCCCTTTTATAATTTGGGCATTGGTTTAAATGGAATCAAAATGAGATGTCTTTCGTCATTGATTAATGCCAACAGATATTTGAACACGGATATGACAACATTTCTGTCATCTGGTGATCTTTTTCTTACAGTTTGGGTATTAGATACTATTTTCCTATTTTCTTGCTTTAACAATTTAACTTTTTCCAACCTTTTGCTTTGATATTGTCTGCTGACTTCCTGTTCTTTTACCACTCATGTTTTTCTCCCTAGCTCATTCCTTTGACTTCCCCAGGCTCTGGCTCCATCCATTTTCTTTCCCCTGCATTTTATTCTTGACCATCTGCTCTTTCTCTTTTGTCCTTTGTCACTGCTTTTTCTCACTCTGTGTAGAGAGGAGTCCTTCTACTGCACAGTCCCCATCACCCCTGTAAAGAGGGAGGTGGAGGAACTTGACAACATAGAGGAGGTGAGCAGGCTTGCGAGGTTAGACATGCATGGCCTGCCCTGTCAGAACACCAGGGGTTACCGGGTGATATTATTGGATCAGAAATTCAGAATGTACATAGGGCATACTTTGTTTTGCTTGTATCACTCCCTAACACCAGCTAGAAACTGTGGATTGGACACACACCAGGGAATTTAAATGACCTTCATAACAACTAACATATCTTTGTTTTGTCATCATCCTAATAACTCCACTCACTTGTAGTCAGAAATTAACACTACCTATAGACCCTTTTTGTGCCTTAGTATTGTCACAATACCAGCCTTTCGCCTTATCTAGTAACACTAAAGCTCTTTATCCTTATCTTAAGATATTAAAAAACAAGGAAATCGCAAAGGGATGTGAGTGACCCACTGCTTTATTCAATATAAATATGGACCATACACTAAACAATAATATAACATAAACTCTGCATTCAGAACAAGTACTATAACCTTTTCAGAATTAAAATTAAAATCTGATCCGCTTTGCTTATCATTGGACGGCTTTAGAGTTTTGGCCCGTTGGTTTGATGCCAATTGTATTGGCTGTATCAGCATAATGATGCATCCAAGGCTTCAGCTAACAAACTTTGGCAGTTTGGTGCCTGTTTGACCAGCTACATGAAAATAAGTTCATTGATCAAACAAATCTATTTTTATAATGCACACTTCATCTAAGTAGCATAATTGCTCCTTACTTGCTCCAGTTTTTTGCTGACTAATGTAAACAACCCATCTGTACCTATATTTGCAACTTTGTAATATGTTTTGAATGCAGTTTGGGCTTACAGGACATACTTTGTGAAGGTACCAACTGTTTGTGAAATCAAATCAATCTAATCTGTTACAATATTAGCATCCAAATTATGGTTATTGTGACAATACTAAAAATATGAATGCTCTTACACTTTCACTAGCTCAGTATTTTTCTTCAGTCAATAACATTTTTTCCCTGGCTTATATAGAACATGAAGCTTGTCGCCCCCATGACTGTGGATGGTGGGAGCAGCCCTAAGGTGAAGCCGAAGGGAGACAAACAGGTGGAGTACCTGGATTTGGATCTTGACCCCAGCAAGTCTACCCCACCTAGGAAGGTAGGAGTTTATCAGCCCCCTCATCCTGAGACATATTTTACACAAGTCGGTTTAAATTAGGACCAACCTTCATGTTTTCTCATTCTTCAGATGAAAAGCAATGGAACTGGAATAGTAGTGTCGGATGAGCGTGTTGACTACGTGGTTGTGGACCAGCAACGAACACAAGCCCTTAAGAGCACCCGGGAGGCCTGGAACGATGGCCGCCAATCCACAGAGACAGACACCCTTTCCAAGGGACCCAAGTGACCTTGTTGTCCCCCAAATCACCCTCTGAACCCCAAAACCGTTGAGCCTTTTAAACTAGTGTAGGCTCCAGTTTGTGCTTTGGGATGGTCCAGTTGTCACGTTCCACCTGAGCAAAATCCTTAATGTGGAGGGGCCAGTGGAGCTTCATAGCCACTAAACTGTGTTTAGTTTACACTGCTGTCAGGCCTAGAACAGCACTGTGTGTACAGTTGTAGGAAGTGGTGTGAGCCAGGTATAAGCTGTATGCAGTATGAAAGCAGGTGGAATGACTGGACTTGCCTTCTGGGTTTGACTAAAGCAGACTCACAAACTTTGAACATTCACTGCCTTCTTTATTGGATTCAATTGATTCTGTTGTACACCTTTCAATGGCCGGTGGGCTGATCCACAGTTAACATTTCCTTAAAATATAATGCTGTTTGATGTTGTTTTGGAGTGTAAGTGAAATCACTTGATAACATGATCAAAATACTTTATCAATGCAACACTCTACTACTTAGCATAGCTGTTAACAGTGTTGATTTTCAGTTTCTCCTGTTTGAGCAGAGTGAAGTTTCTATGGGCACTGGTCACCGGTCCGTTTTAAAAATTCCACCAGAATATGTTTGGATGGCAGAAACTGATCCCAATCTGTGTCTAGGAATACTTCAGGTGATTCCCTAGATAACCCAGTACGACAGAATTTCATATTAGAATTTTTTTCAATGCAAAGGCAGTTGAACTTGATCATTTTACATGTAACCAAGTGCTCAATTTAAGCTTTGAATTCAAGGTTTAATCCACTGAACATGATTTGATGTCCATTTACTTTGTACATGGAGATGCTTCAATCTCTTATAATGGAAGTGCAAAGACTGTACAAAAGTGTTATGTATATAAACATGAAAAGTGTCCTTTTATTTGTATGGAATATCCAGCGTGTTTGACTCGAAGGTATGTGGATTCTGCAGGGTAGAATCCTGTGCCTGTCTTAGGTGGTATCAGGACTTGTGATTAATGAATGAATTACTGTGAGTTTTTAAAAGAACGTGACAGGTTTTCTATAAGTTATGCAAAGGTATCAAACTAAGGCTAGAGAGAGAGAAAATCAGGTACTAATAATACAACTATCCATTTCTAATTTATTTCTCAAGGTATTTCATCAGGTGGATGTCGTGTCCACTTTTAGATCAGTATTCTTGATTCATATAGAGGAACATTAGCTTACGTCTGTTAAAATGCTTAGTTTGACAAGCGCCCAATTAGTTCACAAGTTCATTGAAATTCCTCATTTCTCTCTCTTCTTAGGTTTAATTTATTTCAAATTAAACTGCATACAGTTTGGGGAAATTGACTGCCTCATGTGTTCAACTTGATACATATTTTATAGACAGTGAATAAATCGTTATGTCTGCATAAATCTGTGCTTTACTAACCTGTGAACTCTCACTCAGTCCCAAGCATGTGCTACCACAAGATAAAATCATTGCTGTACATATTTTGCCATCAATTAGATTACATGTATCATTTGAAAAATGTGCCTACTAATTCATCTTCATTCTACTTCACTCTTTCCTTATTGCAGTCTCTTTGTGATACGGACTGCAAAGCTGATGATGCTTTATCTTTTTTAATGAATCTCGACAGAAAATGTAAATTTTAAAAGTGGACTAAATAAAATCCAACCTCTTATTCTTGTGTTGTTTTTCTTCAATATGATTTCCATTATGATTATGGAATCAAAAAGGAAAATATAAGGTGAATAAATAGAATGGGAAGGTAAAAGTAAAGTAAGATTATGTTTCGTGCATAGTGTTCTTTGTTTTCTTTTTTCAATGTTTACGCATCACATTACGATTAAACATTTGATAAAACCATTGTTCTCGCAGGTTGCATGTGTCTTCAATTCCTATATCTCTTGTCAATCTCAAAGTTATAATGAACAATTACATTAGCACGTTTTTCATATAAATGTTATCCACATTCTGAGCAATTATAGCCTGCAAGTATGATATGATTATCAGAATACTTAAACAACCTACATCCGTGTCTTTAACTTCTTAAACCAAACAAAGATGGCAGCATGGAATTGAGCTAATGATCTTACACATATTACGATATAATACAAACTATATAACATTAAGGAAAAGTACATTAATATTGTACTTAATGTCATTAAGCTCAATATAGTCATTTTAAAAGCAATTCTACAACTATACATTTTGGTAACGCATGAAACAAGCACGACGTTTTTATGTCCCTTCCGGTGGCCATTTTTGTTTTAATTGGCAATCAACGCAAGGCTAATTCGGTTCTTTGAGGTCAGGCTTACATTCTTTAAAATGTATATACATCATGCATCCACCGAGAGAAGAAGTACATCATGCATCCACCGAGAGAAGAAGTACATCATGCATCCCGGGGATTAGGTTTTGTTCCGCACCTGGAGGTACAGTGGTAAGTGTTTTTAGCACATTTTGACGTTTAACGATAGCATTAGAAATGTTTTCTTTGAGATGGCTAGCGTTAGCGTTAGCCCAACTCGCCCTTTTAATCAAATATAACCAACAGTACGTTAGTCTTAAATAAATCGCCTGAGAGACACAAACTAAACCCACCGTCATAATAATCTTGTTTTATAACTTTGGTTATTGATGTGAATGGGTTTATCATGAGGTTAACTTATTATTAGCTAATGGAAAGTAGCAAACAATTACTAAATTATTTGACCGTTAGCCGTTATAGCCAAGAAAGTAAAACACACTCTGTTGAACTACAGGTACGTTTACTCAAGAACAATTCTTAAGGCACTTGAATATTCTCTCCTTTTAAGGGCAAACTTAACCCTTACTCCTCTCCATTTAACAGCAAACTATTGTAGCTTCTTTTAACTCCATTACATTAATTTGACAGCTTTAGTTTCTTTGCAAGTACATATAAAAATCACCCAAATATTATATTTTATTATAGGTTCTAATGCTCAGCTTTTACTTTAATTCTGATATTGTTTATTTTACTAAAGTAGAAGATCTGAATACTTCTTCCACCAAAAGTATAAAGAGTATACTAAAGTAAAAAAAGTGCAATACAATATCTGGACAGTCTCTTTGGAAACAGCATCTCTAACAATAGGCAACCTGAGCAAGGTTGTTGATAGCATGAAAACACACAATAGAACATCTGTAGTAAATGATACACTGCTAAAGTGCCAAAAGTACTATTGAACCAAGTTGTATTGAATCTGCTGAGATTGTGTGTACTTTTACCCTTGGCTTCACTATTCCAAGTTGTTCTAAAAAACACAAGCCGTATGCAGGTTTTGTCTTGTAAGAAATTCTTTCAAACTAAAATCTTGCCAAGGGTCCAAAGGGCCAGAATAGCCATTTAAAGCTTGTGTCACCTTGCACTCAAAGCTGTCATTTCCTGGTTTTAGTTTTACTCAGCCAGCCACTAGATGGAGCTGTTGTTTGATTAACTCTGATCTACTGTGCCTATATGCTTTCCCTTTGCCCACACCCCTCTCAGTGCACCACGCTTCTTGACATCCTCCTCTCTGAGCTCTGCAGTGCTGCCTATAGCATCATTATAATTTCTCCAGCATGAACTTCAAACACTAGGTGCTGTTTTCCTGGTTAACTGAAGCCAAAAAGAGATTTGAAATCCATGAGTTTGTCATTTTAGATGTTTTTTTATAACTCAGAATTCAATTTGTTGCTATTTCCTGGACAGTGAGTAAATCCATAATTTTTTTACCAATATGTAGTACTAAATAAAGTGGTCTGTCAATGGTAGAAAGCTTTTCAGGGATTTTTCTAAAGCCCAAACCAAGGTTGATTTTAGGTTGAAAATGGTAAAACTTTCCGATTTACGCTTTTTATTTTTTACATGTGGTGACCAAGGCTCAACAATCCCCTTAGCCCAAAAGCGTAACATTTCACCGTCCTTCAGATAAATACAAATTTTGTTTCTGCAAAATATGTGGGTGGTTATTCTTTGAAGTATGTGAATGAGTGGATTCAGATAACATCTTCGTTGTTGGGTGATAAGTAGGGATGAGCACCTACTTTAATTAAAATATGTATTATACAACTTATAAATGTATTTGTATAGAAGAATCTTCAATAACTTGTACAGGTTTGCATGAGGGTCATATTTTACCTTTGATATTGTGATTTATATTTCTTCTACTGATGTAAATATATCATCAAGCTAATTATCATTTATGGATTCAGTACAGGCCTCCAGTTTACTCGAATGTAGCATATGGGCTGACTGGCTTCACAGTCACATTTAATCCCATAAATCTGTAGCTCTCCACATCATGAGCAACACTTCATCCTACGTAAGTCTGTCTTTTATTGCACTGGCTGTATGTAACCTTTTAATCGCTTTGTAAATAACCTTATTAAAGCTTGTGTTGGGGTATGATTATAAATGCTACTATGGCGTATAACAGATTGTAAAATGTTGTCATCAGGTGGCTTCATGCTTTATTAAAATGTGATTTTTCAAGTTTTCCCGTCACTGTCAGACATGGCTGACGGGATGACAGGTTAACATATGGCAGTTGACAGGTTTCTACTAATTTCTTTTTAAATTGCTAGTGTTTCATTGCTCGTGGGAGCGTCTGGTTTGCAGGCTCAATGTGTGAGAACTAGATTACTGATAATGTCATCATCTCGGTCTATGCTGGAGTTATTTTCATCTCATGCTTGACCTTGGGGACCTGAAGAACATCTCCCCATCTGTGAACACTTTTATCAAGGCTGCTTATAAAAAATTATACCTTGTTTTGCTCTTATTTCTGCTATAATTCAACACTTTCTCTTCTCTCTTTTCCTCCTGAAAAAACGTTGTTAATAGCATTATCACTAATAGAAATGGAAAGCAAGAAGTTCACCTCTCAATCCCTCCATCACTGACAATAGCAAAGTAATCACTTGTTTGGCTACTGCTGAGCTGCCATACAGGAAAGCAGACTAAACCTTCCTCACATGGAGAAGAACTTTGAAGTGGGTGGTTATTGCCGTACTTGCATGAAACAATATACCACATGTAAAAGGCTTTGTTTTGATCTTGTTAGGCATTTATTCACAACACATGGCACTTTTCTATTCTTCATTCAGTTAAAAGCTTATTAGCTGTTGTAAGAAATCCATTGTAATCAATATCTTTGTGGCACATCGAGGCAATCTTTGAAGGTAAAGTACACCTTGCTGCTCAGTTTGTTTGCACTCGTGTCTCTACAGCTGTAGTGGTGCAGCCTGGGGAACCTCTGCAGTATCTTTGGCAGTGTGTGAGTAATGGAGCAGGGAGAGAGTCTCTTAACAGGGCCAGCAGAATAATTATGAGGCGAGCTGAGAGGCTGTTCCTGGGCAACGGGGAGCTTGTGAGCTTCATTGGGAATGGCCTGTCTTCTTGGACCTGTGCCCGACTGATGGGAGCCGTCTGTAAGGTGGGGGTGAGGGTGGGGCGTGCAGTAATGTTACAGACGTACTCGTATTTAAGGACAACTGCGCTTTGTTTTGGCTAAATGGGAATAACAACAATAGTAAACCACTTATAACATTTTCATACCAGTTTAAGGAACTGTGTAGTCTAGCGCTGCAAGGAATAGTGTATCGAAAGAAAATAGTCTCTAAACATTTAGATATTTTGGTTAAATGTTTATCTTATTTTTTGTTAAAGCCTCTTGGACTTGGGATTTACATTTTTCACCTTTTATTGACCAAATTAGGCATTTAGTCCCGTAAATAATTGAAAGATTAATATGATTGTTAAATGGGGTCTGCACTGGCTCCATACATAAGGCCATGGCTTGGGAACAAGATGGTCACCGAATAGTCACTGGTTTAAGTCCTGGAGAGGTGCTACTTCACTTCCTGGGCACTGCTGAGGTCTCTAGAGCAAGGCACCGAACCCCTATCTGCTGGGGGCACTTAACCATGACAACCCAATGTGTAAAACAACAGAGTGATGACTTAATATCCCCTGGAGGGATTAAGAAAGTATATCTTCTTCTATTGGATGCCCTTGTGTAGTCAATGCTTCAAATACTGCATGGTGGTGATTCTGAAAAAAAAAAATGCAATGTGCTCTTGTCAACAAAATCGTGCCAACACAAGGCCTGGTTAATTAACCTCATTAGTTTGAGTGAAAAGTCAGCACTATAGACCTCAGTAAATTATGCAGATGAGTGTCATATTAATGGGAAACACGGTGCATGTGTTGAAAGTGAACATGTCTCCAGAGGCATGTTTGCCCTAGTAGGCATCATTGGGCTGGCAGAGCAGATAATTGATGAGGAGCTTCATGTGTCCCCTGCTGCTCACAGGGGCAACTGGAGCATGACCAACACTGATCTTCATATTTGAGGGTATAAAAAAGGTGATATAGAAAGATTATATGGAATATACATTCTTTCTCCTCACATTGTTCTTTTGAGGATAAATTCCTTTTACCACTGTGACTAAGGCATTTGTACCGAGTGAGATGTTTACAAGTAGAAATAGGAGATATCTAATTGCAATGCGAAACTGATTCTCAATGGCAAACATACTTATTTAGTGCTAAAAGTCGCTTTCAATATCAATTATTCGGTGAACTTATTGTTCATCAAAATGTCGGACAGTGTCCCAGTAACCCTAACCCAGAGAAAGAGAGGGGGAAACATAATGTTTAACGTCATGTTT